CTGAATTTCTAAAGCCCGAGACACACTACACGATTTTCGACTGTCCCAGATGAAATATTGGCATTGTGAAAGAATCGTGGCGATTTCTGTGGCCGTGGCTCCTAATCGGTGGCATCCTATCTCGTACAGTGAGAGAGGTTCAAAGACGGCCGTTGTCACGGTCTTGCGACCAAAGATAGTCTACGATCATTCTCTGACAGTGTCAGAAATACAGCATGATCATCGCACAGTGTGTTTGCTGCTACGATCCACGTTTACTGACCAGCCAATAAAAATGTGACATAAAATCAATGCGACATGGCGCTAAAACATCAAACTAATTACCTCAAGCTCATGATGCTTATTCCTTCCTCTTTCGCAACTTCCATTTTTTTCAGCACACATAAAAACTACAACTGCCAAAGTGTGATTCATCTTGCTCTATTTGTTTACCTCTAGCGCATGCTGATGACGTTTTATTCTTCTATAGAAACGTGCATCTTACAGTCTACATGCATGCCGTACCCAATTTCATTAGATCCATGTCGCACAGTGTGATCTGCAATGATCTTATAGGATTGCTAAAATCATGCAGTGTGTAGAAGGCTTAACACTGTCAGAAAATTATCGTAGGCTATCTTTGGTCACAAGACTGTGACAACGGCTGTCTTTGAACCTCTCTCACTGTACTACACAGGACCACCGATTAGAAGCCACGATCACAGAAATCACCACGATTGTTTCACAATGCCAATCTTTCGTGTGGGACAGCCGAAAATCGTGCAGTGTGTTTTAGCAATCCTATAAGATTATTACAAATCACACTGTGTGACATAAATCTAATAAACTTGGGTATGACATGTATGCAGACTGTATGATGATGACATCTATTGACTCGTAGGCTATGACACAAGTTACTATTGAAGAATAAAACGTCATTAGCAAAGAGAGCATGAGGTAAACAAAAAGAGCATGAGGAAGCGCAGTTTTAGTTTTTATGTTTGCTGAAAAAAAGAGGAAGCTGTGAAAGAGGAAGTTAAAAGAGTTTAAGGTAAGCAGTTTTAGGCACCAAGTTGCATTGATCAACACGCCATTTCATGTTGCATCTTTATTGGCTGGTCAGTAAACGTGGCATTAAAAAAAGCATATATTTCAGGTTGGTAAATCCAATGTGCATGTACAGTCCTAAGTGCTTGTCTCAAGACGAGTGAACCATCTAGGTATATATACAGGTTTGATGGTTAATTGCAGCATTGAATGCTGGTGAAATACTCTTGTGTAATGACCACTAAACTGTATATCTGACTGTTTTCAATTGCAACATACCAGTGCTAATATTATGTCTCTTTTTTTACTCTGCGCTCTGGAACTTGAGTGTTATTTTAAACGCTAAAAGTCTCCAGTTACAGCAAGAAAATTAAAACATCACTCAAAAGAAGGAGGAATCAGTAAAAGACAAAGAGCTGGGAACTTGATAGAGGGAGATAAGTTGCATTGTAGCTAAATATGGTAGCTAAATAATTTATAGAAATAGTACCTTGGATTTCAGATTCATAGTAACGAATTACATTTACATTTAGTCATTTAGCAGATGCTTTTATCCAAAGCGACTTACAAATGAGGACAATAAAAGCAGTCAA